CACCCTTTCCAATCTCAACCCCCCCACTTCCATTCCGCCCTCTTTTATCTTCACACGCCTTCCTCTCCTCCCTCTGCCTCCCCTCACCCCTCCCCGCCTTCCTTTCCCTCTCCTTCCTTCCTTCCTTCCTTCCTTCCTTCCTTCCTTCCTTCCTTCCTTCCTTCCTTCCTTCCTTCCTTCCTTCCTTCCTTCCTTCCTTCCTTCCTTCCTTCCTTCCTTCCTTCCTTCCTTCCTTCCTTCCTTCCTTCCTTCCTTCCTTCCTTCCTTCCTTCCTTCCTTCCTTCCTTCCTTCCTTCCTTCCTTCCTTCCTTCCTTCCTTCCTTCCTTCCTTCCTTCCTTCCTTCCTTCCTTCCTTCCTTCCTTCCTTCCTTCCTTCCGCCCTTCTTCCAACGCTGCCTTTGGCAAGAGCTAGGAACATGTCTCACAGCGTTGTACGCTCCTCTTTCTTCCTCCTGCTGTACACCCACCAAGGATTGCGTTTGACAAGAACCACGACCGCGTGGGAGTGAGCTACGAGGTGGTCAATCTGGTGGCGTCCACCTTTCAAACCCTCGGCTACTGGGAGCAGGGCAAGGGCCTCGTTGCTGCCCCTGTGAGTAGTCCATTTTCAAGGCGCCTCAAAAATAGACCTTTAAAACCCTCGGCTATTGGGAGCAGGGCAAGGGCCTCGTTGCTGCCCCCGTGAGTAGCCCTCTCCTTTTTGAGACGTCTCGAAAGCAGGGCAAGGGCCGTGTGGCTGCCCCTGTGAGTATTCTGTTTTTAAGGCGCCTCAAAAATTGACCTTTGAGACTCTCGGCTTGAAGAAGTGTTTTGAGACGTCTCAAAACACTTCTTCAATCATGAGACTCTCGGCTACTGGGAGCAGGGCAAGGGCCTAGTGGCTGCCCCGGTGAGAAGTCCGTTTTTAAGGCGCCTCAAAAATAGACCTTTGAGACTCTCGGCTACTGGGAGCAGGCAGGGCAAGGGCCTGGTGGCTGCCCCCCTGAGTAGTCCTCGTTGCACGAGGCCTTAAAAACATTTGGAGTCCTCGTCTTCCTGGTTGTAAACAGGCCAAGAGCCTCTTGGCTTTTGTGTGAGTGCACCTGTTGTGTCCGTGTGAACCTTCTCACTCTCGCTCTGTGTTCTGCTGCTGTGGTTTCACCCCTCTGTGCATTCACCCCTCTGTGCATTCACCCCTCTGTGCATTCACCCCTCTGTGCATTCACCCCTCTGTGCATTCACCCCTCTGTGCATTCACCCCTCTGTGCATTCACCCCTCTGTGCATTCACCCCTCTGTCTGTGCATTCACCCCTCTGTGCATTCACCCCTCTGTGCATTCACCCCTCTGTGCATTCACCCCTCTGTGCATTCACCCCTCTGTGCATTCACCCCTCTGTCTGTGCATTCACCCCTCTGTGCATTCACCCCTCTGTGCATTCCGTTGCCAGTCAAAAGTGCCGTCTAACACCACCCTGAAGCCTGCTGTCTGGCCCGGCAATACCATGAAGGTAACACCTCTCCAAGGTAGCACCTCGTTAAGGTAACACCTCTCTGAGGTAGCACCTCGTTATAGTGACTCCTATTCAAGGTAGCACCTCGTTAAAGTGACTCCTCTTCAAGGTAGCACCTCGTTAAAGTGACTCCTCTTCAAGGTAAAACATGTTTGAGGGAAATGTGTCACCTTGCGAAGGTAACACCTCCAGCATCTCCAAGCACACAGATCACAGGTTTGGCAAATACTCTCACTCTCTCTTTGCAAGCCACCGTCGGGGTTACCCTCTTCAAGGCAAGACGATGCACAGCTATTCCCCACACTCCAAGATAGCACGTTTTGCCTTGGAGAAATTTCTCAAAAGCGGATTGTTTCTAGTGTTGTACTCCCCGCGCGGTGGCTTTTGAGCCGAATTGAAAGCGAAATCTCCTCCAAGCGGTGCCATGCTCTCAGTCTCAGCGCGCATGCTCCATTACAATCTCCCACTTTAACAACCCCGCAAAACCCAAGAATTATTAAGAGACGGATACGGTTCGCACGATTGCATCTGACTTGGAGCAGTGACGGTTCCCCTGTCCTCTCACCCACTTACCTCACTTTCTCTTCTCCATCCTCTCACTTTTTTGCTTTCTATCCCACCCTCCCAGTTTCCTCGAGGCTGGTTACCATCAAAAGGCAAGGCGTTACGCATTGCAGTCCCGTTCGGCCCTTCGGTAAGCTCTCCGTGACTCGCTCTATATCCTATCATTCTCCTCCCCCCCTTTCCCTCCTCCCCCCCCCATCTTCTCGTCTACGTTGGAGCCACTTCTGGAAAGATGTGTCAAAACCTGGAAAATTTTAGAAAGTGACTTTGGGGGTGAATAAAATGGGTCCAACATTACTACCGTTCAGTACTAAGTCCAGCTAGATAGCTAAGCCACTGTGGGCAGCCATCGTGTGGGAACCGGGATCTCTTACTGTTAGTGGCTGAGAGAGGGGACGAAACCAGGGAACTGGCACAGGCCAGAAGAAGGAATGAAGGAGGGAGAACAGCAAGGGTAAGGGGAAGAAGGAAGGTAACAGGGGGGTTTTAAAGAGCCCTCCACCCCCAGGCTGTGGAGCAGTATGTGAACCGCAACCCAGATGGCAAGGCAACCTCTCAGGCTTCTGTGCGGAGGTGTTTCAGCGAGCCATGGTGCTTCTTCTTTCCCAATGCCTTTTTGAGTGCTCGGCCTGTTGTACCCCACCCACCTCCTCTCCTCTCCCCTCCCCCAGGCTGTGGAGCAGTATGTGAACCGCACTCCAGACGGCAACTTCACGGGGTTCTGTGTGGAGGTGTTTCAGCGAGCCATGGTGTTTCTTCTTTCCAGTGCTTTCTTAGTGCTGTACCCTCTCCTCTCCCACCCCATCCCATCACCCCCCCCCCTCTCGCTCTTTCCCCCCACCCTTCCCCATCCCCCACGCCCCCACCCCCACCCCCACCCCCTTCCCTCCCTCCCGCAGGCTGTGGAGCAGTATGTGAACCGCACTGCAGACGGCAACTTCACGGGGTTCTGTGTGGAGGTGTTTCAGCGAGCCGTGGTGTTTCTTCTTTCCAGTGCTTTCTTAGTGCTGTACCCTCTCCTCTCCCACCCCATCCCATCACCCCCCCCCCCCCCGCTCTTTCCCCCCACCCTTCCCCATCCCCCACGCCCCCACCCCCACCCCCACCCCCTTCCCTCCCTCCCGCAGGCTGTGGAGCAGTATGTGAACCGCACTGCAGACGGCAACTTCACGGGGTTCTGTGTGGAGGTGTTTCAGCGGGCCATGGAACTGCTACCTTACCCCGTGGGATACTCGCTCGTGGCGTATGACTTTGCAGGCAACTCGTACGAAGACCTCATTCGAAGTGTGGCGAACAAAGTGAGTGTTGACGTGTGGGAGGGTGGAGGCCGGGGGACATGGTTGCTAGCTGCCGTACCCCGTGCGTGGGGTACTCGCTCGTGCTGTGTTTTTGAGACGTCTCAAAAACACCCTCATTACACGTGGGTACTCGCTCGTGCTGTGTGACTTTGCTGTACGACTTCCATCTTGGTGCAGGTGGGGATCTCCATCTTGCCGTACGACTTCCAGGGGAGCTCGTACGAAGACCTCATTCGGCGCGTTGCAATCAAGGTGGGTGTAAGGGAGGGGGGAAACATGGTGTCATGGTGCTGCTGTAACCAGTGGGTGGGGTGTGGTGGTGTGGGGTTCTCTTTCGTAGTGTACGACTTCCGGGGGAGCTCCTACGAGGATCTTATTCAGTGCGTCGCGAACAAGGTGGGTGTGTGTGAGAGTGGGAGAGATGTAGATAGAAGGGGTGCAAAGCCGAAGACAAAATGGGAACCTCCCCTTTCCCCCTTCCCCCTTTCCCCAATTCCCCCTTCCCCCCTTCGCCTTTCTAGCTCACCCCTTCTCCTTTCCCCCTTTCCCCTTCCCCCTTTCCCCCTCCCTCCCCCCTCCCCCCTCACCCCTCTCGGCCTCTTTTCCCACTCCCGTCTCAGGTGTTTGACGGGGCAGTGGGAGACATCACAGTGACAGCTGACCGTGTTGTTTTGAGGCGCCTCAAAACTAACCTGCCCCTCTCCCTCCCCCCCGGTACCGTCTCAGGTGTTTGACGGGGCAGTGGGGGACATCACAGTGACAGCTGACCGCGCACAAACCGTGGACTTCACCCTTCCCCTCTTTCCACCTCCCCCTTCCCCTCCCCCTCCCCCCACACCCCCCCTGTTCCCGCTGCCCCCCCTCAGGTGTATGACGGGGCAGTGGGGGACATCACAGTGACAGCTGACCGCGCACAGATCGTGGACTTCACCCAGCCCTTCATGGTAACCACATGGTAACCACACGGTAACCGCGCAGTAACCACATCTTCATGGTAAACATGTGGTAACTCCACAGCCACTCATGGTAACCACACGCGCGGTGATTGCACAGCCGGTTGTGGTGTCTGCGTGCCCTGCTTGCCTCCTCTTCCTCGGCCCACCTGCCTACCCCAACATTCCTCGGACGCAGAAGTCAGGGTTGGGGCTGGTGGTGCAGGAGCAGCAGAACGAGCCGAGCCGATCAACACCCTCTCCTCTGATAGGATTCAAGAATGATTGAGTAATGAGCCAAGGAGGCTCTATAGTACAAGCATGCAAGGAAGAGAGGTTGGAAGAAGGAGCATACCCTATTGGCCACTAAGTTGGCCAATGGGTGAGATGCCTTGTGGAGTAGGGAACCCCACAATGTTGCTAGGTTGTGACTGGTTGGCCTTAGGACCAAATGTTGGCAAGTGCCAACCAAGGACCAAGACCAAACCAAATCTTGACCCAACCACAAAGTGTGGTTGGAGTGTACACCCAACCCCCCAATAGCTTAAAGAGCTACACCTATTCTAGCCTATGTATGTTGTATATAAGATACATTTACAACACAACCCCCCAACATGCATAAGGCTAGAAAAAATGTAATCAGGAGGCCGCCAAAACTGGTGGCGGGGTGAGCCCAAGGAGACGCAACAGGAAGGAGTGGGACGCTTGGGGAAGAGCTTTGGTGAAGATGTCGGCGAGGTTGGCTGCCGAGTCGATTTTGCCAAGACGAATGTGGCCGGCCTCAACGAGATCGCGAATGAAGAAGTAGCGAAGCTCAATGTGTTTTGAGCGCCCATGATACACAGCGTCCTTGGTGAGGTGGATGGTGCTGGCGTTGTCACACCAGATGGTGGGACAGCGTTGGGGGGCTCCTAGCTCATCAAGGAGGAAGGTGAGCCAGCGTGCTTCTTGCGCGGCCATGGTCGCAGCGTAGAGCTCTGCTTCGCAGGAGGAGAGGGCGACGGCAGAGGAGCGTGTGGACCGCCAGCTGATGAGACCGCTGCCGAGGGAGAAGCCATAGCCCTGAGAGGACCGCCGATCCGGTCGAGAATCAGCCCAGGAAGAGTCGCTGTAGCCGTTGAGGAGTGGTGGGGAAGGGCCGCCAAGGGTGATGACATAGTCCTTGGTGCCACGAATGTAGCGAAGGACACGCTTGGCGGCCTGCCAGTGCTCTTCCGTGTGCTTGCCAGCGCCAACGAACCGGGCGAGGACGCTGATGGGGTAGGCAAGGTCAGGGCGAGTGGAAACCATGGCGTACATGAGAGAGCCGATGAGTTCCGGATAAGGATGGGAGGAGGGAGAGGGAGAGGAGGGTGGGGAGAGGTGGTGCCCAACCGAGAGGGGAGTGGGCTGAGGGTTGCCGCGCGCCATGTCAAACCGGTCCAAGACCTGCTGGAGGTAGTGACCCTGAGAGAGTGAGATGATGGTCATGCCGAGGTAGTTCTGCAGCTCTCCCAGGTCTTTGCACTTGAGACGGCTGCCCAGCTCCGCCTTGACAGTCTCGAGCTCGGCAAGGTCGGCGGTGAGGAGGATCATGTCGTCAACATAGACGAGGATGTAGAAGGGGGAGGGAGAGGTGCGGAGGAAGAGGCTGGCGTCAGAGCGGGAGGTGCGAAAGCCAAGCTCAGCAAGGGTGGCAGCAAGCTTGGCATGCCACTCCCTGGGTGCCTGACGGAGCCCGTACACGGGTCGGCGCAGCTGCCAGACGGAGTCGGCGGGGAAGGGGAGGTGGAAGCCGTCTGGGCGCTCCATGTAGATCAGTTCACGTAGTACGCCTTGGAGGAAGGCGTTGGAGACATCCATCGAGTGGATCTCCATGTTGAGGCGAGCGGCGAGGTCGAGTACAGCGCGAACGGTAGCAGGTTTGGCGGTGGGGGAGAAGGTGTCGAAGAAGTCAAAACCATACCGCTGCGTGAAGCCCTTGGCGCAATACCGGGCCTTGTAGACGGGCGGCTCTCCTGGGAGCTGTTTGACGCGAAACACCCACTTCCCCTTTACCACGTTCGTAGAGGAGGGAGGGCGAGGCACATCAATGAAGGAAGAGTTGGGGATAAATGCCTCGAGCTCCTTGATGATGGCGGCAAGCCAGAGCGGGGCGTCGGGGCAAGCCATGGCCTCCTCGTACGTGGTTGGGACGAAGATGGAGGGAGCAGAGGAAAAGGCGAAGACTGGTGTTCTAGAAAGGTCAAAGGTGATGGGGAGGAGGGAGGGGTCGGAAAGGTGGAGGTCAAGGAACTCCTCATGGGAGTCCTCAGAGAGGGAGGTGTGGAAGGCGCGGATGACCGCTGGTGCCGCTGCTCGTGCTGCTGCTGGTGCCGCTGCTGGTGCCGCTGCTGGTGCCGCTGCTGGTGCTGCTGTGGAGGCCGCTGCTGCCGCTGCTGCCGCTGCTGCTGCTGCTGCCGCTGCTGGTGCCGCTGCGATGGCTGCTGCTGGAGCTGCTGCTGCCGATGATGGAGAGGTGGTTGAGGGGGCTGGTGCATGAGGGGCTTGATGTAAGACAGCCTAGAAGAAGTGGCGAAGGAGGGGAGAAAGAGAGGGAAGGGAAGAGGTAGAGAGGGTAACAGGGGGCGGTGCACCAAGGATACTGTCACGTGACCTGGTGTGAGGAAACCGGGTGAGTATGGTGCGGGGAGTGGGGGAGGGAGGTGAGGGTTGGGAGGGAGGGGGAGGGGCGCCGGGGGAGGAGTGGGCGGGGGAGACAGGGGGTCCGGATCAAAGATGTCACCAGACGAGGGAGGGGCACCGTGGGACTGGGAGGGCGGAGGGGGAGGGGGTGGGAGGATGGGGGGAGGAGGGAGGAGAGGGGGAGGGGTGGTGTCAGACCAGACAAGGGGACGAGTCAGAGGTGGGAGCGGGTCAGTGGATGGAGGAGAGGAATAATACGGGGTGGATTCGTCAAAGACGACATCTCTACTGCGAATTAGTCGACCGGAAGGGGGGTGGAGGAAAAGATAGTTGGGGGAGGAGGGGTTATGACCAAGGAAGACGCAAGGAAGGGTACGAGGGGCAAGCTTTCCAAGGGAGCGGGATCGGTCAGACGGGTGAATGAGGACATATGCCTTAGAGCCCCAGACCCGAAGAGGGGAGATATCGGGTTTGTCCTTTGTCCATAGCTCAGTGGGGGTGGTGGAGGGGAGGAGGGGGTGAGGGTAAAGGTTAGTAAGGAGGGCGGCATGAAGGAGGGCGTAGCCCCACAGAGAAGGGGGGCATGAGGCGTGGACAAGAAGACACCGAGCGAACCGTCTTGGTGATCTCCCGAACACGGCTCTCAGCGACACCGTTCTGCTGTGGGGAGTGAGGGAGGGTGTGAGTCTGGAGAATGCCGCGGGACTGGCAGTAGGAGGAAATTTGGGTATTAAGGAACTCACCACCACCATCAGAGTGAAGGCGGCGAACAGGGCGGCCAAAGTGAGTGTTGGTTTGTTCGAGCCAGGCAATGATCGCGGTCGGGGCGTCCGCCTTCGTCAGAAGGAGAGAGACGGACGAGTACCGACTGTGGTCATCGACGAGCACGAGGAGGTAGCGATGGCCTTGGCGAGTGGGGGAAGGGTTAGGGCCCCAGAGGTCCATGTGAACAAGATCAAGTGGCTGAGCAGCAGCGGAGGGGGAGCTCCGGTGCGGCTGCTGCTTGAGCTTGCTCTGAACGCAGACGACGCAAGGGGGGGCAGGGGACTTTGGGAGGGGAGGGAGGGAGGAGGGGAGACCGTGGAGGAGACCGGAGGATACAGAGGAGCGCAGAGTGGCGAAGTTGGGGTGACCTAGCCTGTGATGGAGGAGGATAGTAGGGTGGGAGAGGGAGCGACATGAGCAGTCAGAGTCAGGGGGGCGGGGGGGGACGGGTGGGTTAGTGGAGGGGAGGGGAGGGGGGGGGGGGGAGGGGGGGGGGGAGGCAACTTGGAAGGTGAGTGGGCGAGGAACCCGAAGGGTGTATAGACGGGAGCGGGGACAGTAGGGAATACGGGCGAGGAAGCGACCTGTAGAAGTTTGGTAGAGGTCACAATGGTTAGCACCACCTGGGGTGAGAGTGGTGATCATGGATTGTTGGAGGGACCTTTGGGAGAGGAGGTTGGTGCGAAGGGAGGGAATGTGAAGACCTGTGACAGTACCTGAGGGAAAGAGAGGACAGGGAAGGGTGGAGGTGTTGTGACAGGGGATGGAAAAGCTGCTATCAGCGCCAAGGAGGGACGTGGATGTGGGAAGAGGATTGAGTTTGCCGGCATCTCGAAAGACATTATCAGTGGCTCCACTGTCCAAGACGAACTCAAGGGTGGAGGAGGGTGAGGCGGAATACTGAATTGAGGTTTCATTAATAGCAGGGGCATACATAGGAGATGCAACAGAAGGAGGCTGACTAAGGAGACCAACAAAGCCAGAGGAGGGAAAGGGGGTCACACTGCCACCTGTGGACGGCGCAGGGGATGGACCGGAGAGGTGGGCCGCGGAGGCCGCATTCCCGGCGGTCCAGCTGGGAAACGTCTGCTGCTGGGGAACAGGAGAAGGAGGGAGGAGAGGAAGCTGGGGCTGGAGGTCGAGCTGCTGCTGGAGCTGCTGAAGCTGCTGCTGGAGCTGCTGCCCGTACTGCTGCGGTCCCTGCTGCTGGACACTCTGCTGCTGCTGCTGCTGCTGCTGCTGCTGGAACTGGTGGTGGTGGTGGTGGTGCTGCTGCTGCTGCTGCTGCTGCTGCTGCTGAGAGGGGAGAGCAAAGGCCTGATGGCCCTGAGAGGAGGAGGAGGGGGCGTAGAGGGGAGAGGTGCGAACATCGAGGGGAGTGGGGCGGGGATTAAGGGCGGACCAGCGAGGAGGGGTGCCAGAGTTCCCACGAGCGAACCACTCATCGCTGAGTGCCTTGAAGCACGTGTCAGTTGCATGAGTGGTTTGGTTGCAGCGTTGGCCTCGGGTGGGGCCATAGAGGGGAAGATACTGACAGGGTGGGAAGGCCGCTGCTGCCCCACGACCCGCACCACCACGACCGCCAGAGCCGCCTCGACCACCACCACGCCCACCTCCACGCCCTCCCCCACGTCCGCCCTTGCCGCTGCGCTGCTGTGCTACCGCGGCAGTGGAGGAGGAGTGGCGAAGGATTTCAGCCTCAGTGGTGATAATCCACTGGGCAACTTGAGCGGGAGTGTCATGCTTGGAGAGGAGTTGCATGTATGCGAGCTTGTGGGCATCGAAGGCGGGAGTGAGGCCTTCGAGGAGGTGGCAGCAGATGACGGTGTCAGGGTAGGTAACGCCAAGTGCTGCAAGGCGGCGAGCAAGGTCAAGGACGCGGCGAGTAAAGGCGGCTGCGCCGGCAGTGGAATCCATGGTGATGAATTCCTTGATGAGGGCATAGAGGGTGGCGATGTCCTGCCGGTCAAAGAGGTCGACAAGCAGTTGCCACAGGTGGGAGGAGGAGGTAGGTGAAAGCTCTCGTTTGAGGGAGGAGGGGATAGTGGCGAGGAGGATGGCGAGAGCTCGACGGTCAGCAATGCGCCACGCAGCGATGTCGGTGGTGTAGCTGGCGAGACGTGTAGTGTACGTGGTGAGCCGAGCTTGGTAATCGCGGTGGCGGGCAGCAGCCTCGTCGTAGGCGCGCTTGTCGTCCTCATAGCGCAGTTGACGGCGAAGGTGGTCGTTGAGTGCGGTGCGGTAGGTACGGATGGCAGTTTCCATGCTCTGAGGATTGTTGACATCCGGCGCGAAGGTGGGAGGATCACCAGGAGGCTCGGGCTCAGGTCCGGGCTCGTCAGGAGGAGGTCCGGTGGAGGGGGAAGGGGCGATGGGCTGGAGTCCGCCTTCCTCCTGGAACACGACGGAACGGAGGGTATGTCCACTGACGACAACCGAGGAGAGCAACACCTCGACGGAGTGGGCATAAGAGTGCCAGTTGGCGGCCGAGTTGTCGCCCAACAACTCGAGAGAGTCAATGGTCGCCAGGTCGACCGATGAGTCTGCGGACGCCATGATGGCGAAGTCGGGAAGGTGCCGCTGCTGGTGCCGTTGAAGGTGCCGCTGCTGGTGCCTTAGGGTTAAAGGTGCCGCTGCTAGGTGCTGCTGCTGGTGCGATTAAGGGTGGAGTAGGGGGGAGGAGGTAGGGGAGAGGGAGGGTGGCGCGGAAGTGTGGGGCAGGGTGCGGATGAAGGGGGGAGGTCGCGGTGATCGCGAGCAGGCGACCGCGAGGGCGCGGAGGTCAGTCGCGGCGGCGCGCCGGCCGGCCGCGAGAGCGCGAGGGTCGGCCGCGGCTCTGCGTCGGCCGTCCGCGTCAGTCGCGAAGGCCGGCCGCGGCTCCCCGTCGGCCGTCCGCGTCAGTCGCGAAGGCCGGTCGCGGCTCCGCGGTGGCCGTCCGCGTCAGCGCGGGGGTCGTCGGCGCTCGCGCGCTGGCCGTCCGCGCTGGCGCGCAGGTCGGCCGCAGCTCCGCGCTGGCCGAGCGCGTCGGCGCGCGGGGTGCTCGTGGCCGCGCGCTGACCGTCCGCGACGGCACGCTAGTCGTCCGCGACGGCGCGCTTGTCGTCCGCGACGGCGCGCTTAGTGAGGCGTGGCGGCGGGAGGGAGGATTGCTGCCACGGGAGAGCCGTTTGAGGCCGCGGGAGGGAGGATTAAGGCCGCGGGAGGGAGGATTGAGGCCGCGGGAGGGAGGATTGAGGCCGCGGGACGGAGGTTTGAGGCCGCGGGAGGGAGGATTGAGGCCGCGGGAGGAATAGATTTGAGCCGCGAGAGGCTAGGTCTAGGATGCGGGTGGGCGGATGTACATCGTAGCCCGCTAGAGTGGAGGAGCGGAGAGGAAATTACGGCCTAAGGATCGAGGGAGGTGGCGTGAGCCATTTGGCTCTGAATACCATGATAGGATTCAAGAATGATTGAGTAATGAGCCAAGGAGGCTTTATAGTACAAGCATGCAAGGAAAAGAGGTTTGAAGAAGGAGTAAACCCTATTGGCCACTAAGTTGGCCAATGGGTGAGATGCCTTGTGGAGTAGGGAACCCTAAACCCTAAACCCTAAACCCCACAATGTTGCTAGGTTGTGATTGGTTGGCCTTAGGACCAAATGTTGGCAAGTGCCAACCAAGGACCAAGACCAAACCAAATCTTGACCCAACCACAAAGTGTGGTTGGAGTGTACACCCAACCCCCCAATAGCTTAAAGAGCTACACCTATTCTAGCCTATGTATGTTGTATATAAGATACATTTACAACATCCTCTGCTCCTTCCTCCTCCCTCTTCTTCCCCGACCCTGCCTGCCAACCCCCACCAACAGGAGTCAGGGCTGGGGCTGGTGGTGCCGGTGTTGCAGGGCGATCCAGCCAACCCCTGGGTTCAGTTCCCTCTACCCCCTAACGTCCCTTATCTTTCCAACCCATCTCCTCCTTCCTTCACGCCCCTGCCTAACTACCCCAACAGGAATCAGGGCTGGGGCTGGTGGTGCCAGTGCTACAGAGTAAACCCACCTATTCATGACAATCTGTTACCCCTGCCTACCCGAACAGGAGTCAGGGCTGGGGCTGGTGGTGCTGGTGCTGCAGGGCGATCCAGCTAACCCCTGACAATGCTTCACCCCTTCCCTCCGTCTCTTCCTCGCCCTGCTTTTCTAACAAACTTTGCGGTCCTTTCTGCTACCTGCCCCAACAGGAGTCGGGGCTGGGGCTGGTGGTGCCGGTGCTACAGGGCGATCCGGCCAACCCCTGGGCGTTCCTGTACCCGTTCACAGGCAGCATGTGGGCGCTCATGATCGCATCTATAGTCTTCACCGCGGCTGTCATCTGGTACCTCGAGCACAACCAGAACCTGGACTTTGGAGGAGGACCCTACCACCACCAGCTCACAACCAGCCTCTGGTGAGTGAGTCCCCGTCGAGTGGGCGTTCTTCCTGTAGGCGTTCAGCATGAGGTGTGGGTCGTTTGAGAGCCTGCCAGCGCTCATGATCGCATCTATAGTCTTCACTGCGGCTGTCATCTGGTACCTCGAGCACAACCAGAACCTGGTTTTTGGCGGTGGCCCGTATCACCACCAGCTAACCACCGGCCTCTGGTGAGTCCTTTCTTCTTCTCCGGAAAAGCATGAAAAAACCAACTCGGCTAACCACCACACCACCCTGTAGTGAGCCCACTAGAGAAGGGTGAGAACCTGGACTTGGCCGTACCACCACCAGCTCTCCTCCAGCCTCTGGTGAGTCCTTTCGTCTTCTCCGGAACCAACTCGGAGGGTTGAGCACGGGCCGGGCCGGGCCTGGCCCGGGTCGGGCTAGGCCGGGCCAGGCAAAAATCCGGGCCGGGCCAGGCCCGGCCCGACCCGGGCCGAATGATCAAGACCCTGGCCCGAGCCCGCCCATTTTGCACTCGGGCCAGGGTGGCCCGACCCGGGCCAAGCAAGGCCCGACCCGGGCCGGGCCCGGGTCGGCCCGGGTGCACTTTCGATAGAGTCACACATGATTTTCGAAAACGGAATGCCTGAAATCATAACCTAATCTAAGCTAAAACGCACTATTTCGCCACCCTTTCATAGAACCGTTACTTTAAAACGGTTAACTATCACTAACTACTGAGAGGTAGAGTATAAGTTAGAAAAACGGGCTAGTTGAGATCTAAATACATGGCGAGAAGCTAGGGGTAAGCTTGCGTTAGAGCTTGCGCAAACTGTCGCGCAGCTCAAATTTGACCCCCGCGACATTTGCTGGGGTGCAGTCAAATCCCCGCGTGATTGAGATTTGACGAAATTGACTCAAATCTCAAATTATGCCAACAAAACACAACAGAAACCGGATTTCACCGCACTGAATCTAGAATTTCCAACCAATTCATCAATTTCCAACCCAGGTCGACTAGATCTGGCCGCATTTGTTGGCCTGGGATCTAGTCGACAGCATATCATCTCTTAGGGTTTACTCGACCAGCACATTATTAGCTTATAAGTAGAGTTCACTAAGCGACTTGTCGCAAGGGGAATAGGCGGGCCAGAACAGCCCGACCCGGGCCGCGATTCGACCCGGGCTGGCCCGGCCCGGCCCAAAAATGTCGGGCCGATGTCGGGCTACCTACGGCCCGGCGGGCCGGGCCGGCCCGGTCCGCCACGGGCGGAACCCCAAAATCTGAGGCCCGGCCCGTGGCAATTCCGGGCCGGCCCGACGTGGGCCGGGCCCAGCCCGGAATTATGCTCATGCCACCACCACCCTGTAGTGAGACCACTAGAGGAGGGTGAGTGTAACGCAGAAGCTGATTTGGCTCCTCGATTTTGGCATAAAAATCGCTTCAAGAATCAGCTTTATTGGCTTGGCATGTCTGGTGTGCCGTAGGCTCTGCCAATCCTTTCTCCACCTATCCCGTCTCCGCCCGCATGGTTTTTCCCTGCAGGTTTGTTTCTGAGGCGCCTCTATTGAATTCCTGCCAATCCTTTCTCCTCCCATCCCGTCTCCTCCCCGATGGTTTTTCCCTGCAGGTTTGCCTTTGCTAGCATGGTCCGCTCACAAGGTACGTGCTCTGATACCACACCAAGGTTTCTGTGCCTTTTGAGTTTCTCGCTGGGCTGAGAAATCACTAATGCCTGTCCTCCTGCTTGTCAATCAGGCAGCATAGCTGCTCTGCTCGTGTTTATGTTGAGTTCAAGGCGTATATGTAGATTTTGGGGGAAAATAATAATAATAATAATAATAATAATAATAAGAATAAGAATAATAATAATAATAATAATAATAATAATAATAATAATAATAATAATAATAATAATAATAATAATAATAATAATAATAATAATAATAATAATAATAATAATAATAATAATAATAATAATAATAATAATAATAATAATAATAATAATAATAATAGTAATAATAATAATAATAAGAAAAATGAAACACCCCTTCTCGTTTTCTTTTCACCCACTCGCCCATCCCCCCTACAGAGCAGCACGTGGGCACAGTGCTGGGTCACTCTGTGGTGATTTCGTGGCTCTCTGTGGTTCTCATCATCACCTGCTGCTGCATGCTCATACATGCATGCACCCACCCACCCACCCACTCCTCCATCCCCCTTCTACAGAGCAGCACGTGAGCACAGTGTTGGGTCGCTTTGTGGTCATCTCATGGCTCTCTTCTGAAACACCATTTCGTGCTTACACGCTCTTACCTGCACCCACCCACTCCTCCATTCCCCCTCACAGAGCAGCACGTGGGCACAGTGTTGGGTCGCTTTGTGGTCATCTCATGGCTCTCTTCTGAAACACCATTTCGTGCTTACACGCTCTTACCTGCACCCACCCACTCCTCCATTCCCCCTCACAGAGCAGCACGTGGGCACAGTGTTGGGTCGCTTTGTGGTCATCTCATGGCTCTCTTCTGAAACACCATTTCGTGCTTACACGCTCTTACCTGCACCCACCCACTCCTCCATTCCCCCTCACAGAGCAGCACGTGGGCACAGTGTTGGGTCGCTTTGTGGTCATCTCATGGCTCTCTTCTGAAACACCATTTCGTGCTTACACGCTCTTACCTGCACCCACCCACTCCTCCATTCCCCCTCACAGAGCAGCACGTGGGCACAGTGTTGGGTCGCTTTGTGGTCATCTCATGGCTCTCTTCTGAAACACCATTTCGTGCTTACACGCTCTTACCTGCACCCACCCACTCCTCCATTCCCCCTCACAGAGCAGCACGTGGGCACAGTGTTGGGTCGCTTTGTGGTCATCTCGTGGCTCTCTTCTGAAACACCATTTCGTGCTTACACGCTCTTACCTGCACCCACCCACTCCTCCATTCCCCCTCACAGAGCAGCACGTGGGCACAGTGTTGGGTCGCTTTGTGGTCATCTCATGGCTCTTTGTGGTTCTCATCGTCACCTGCAGTTACACCGCCAATCTCACCTCCATCCTCACTGTGAACAACCTCACTCCTCCTGTACAGGTATGCTACTCACTGATGTATGTACAGTACAGTATGTGTTGTGTACAGTACATGCAAACCATCTATTCTATCCGCTCTTTCATTCTTGAGTCATCATCAAGCCTCTCCCTCTCGTCCCTCACCCCTTGTCTCTCGCCCTCCACCCCTCACCCCTTGCCCCTCCCTCCCTGCGCCCCATGGCAGTTCCTGGCAACGGTGGTGATCACATCGCGCTCTGTGGTGGGCTATCTCATTAGCTATTCAGACATCTCAACTCAATGTCTCAAAACTCGCCCCTCCACATTCGCCTTTTGCCCCCACCTGTGCTTCCCTTCCTCCCTGCGCTCGGTATCAGTTCCTGGCAGCAGTGGTCACATCAGGCTCTGTGCTGGCCTGGGTTATCTCAACGGCTCCTCAAACGTCTCAACATCTCGAAACTTGCCCATTTCCCTCCACTTCTCACCCCCACCCGTCTCCCCATCCCTGCGCCCCGTGCCAGTCCCTGGCAGCAGTGATCACATCGGGTTCTGTGGTGGGCTATCTCAACGGTTCCTTCTCCGAGCAGCACCTTCTGGGCTTTGGCGTCCGCAGGGTAAGTCCCCAGCCTGAATGGTGGGCTGTGAATGGTGGTCTGTGAATGGTGGTCTGTGAATGGTGGTCTGTGAATGGTGGTCTGTGAATGGTTGTCTGTGAATGGTGGTCTGTGAATGGTGGTCTGTGAATGGTGGTCTGTGAATGGTGGGCTGTGAATGGTGGTCTGTGAATGGTGGTCTGTGAATGGTGGTCTGTGAATGGTGGTCTGTGAATGGTGGGCTGTGAATGGTGGTCTGTGAATGGTGGTCTGTGAATGGTGGTCTGTGAATGGTGGTCTGTGAATGGTGGTCTGTGAATGGTGGTCTGTGAATGGTGGTCTGTGAATGGTGGTCTGCGAATGGTGGTCTCTGAATGGTGGGCTGTGAATGGTGGGCTGTGAATGGTGGGCTGTGAATGGTGGGCTGTGAATGGTGGTCTGTGAATGGTGGGCTGTGAATGGTGGTCTGTGAATGGTGGTCTGTGAATGGTGGTCTGCGAATGGTGGTCTCTGAATGGTGGGCTGTGAATGGTGGTCTGTGAATGGTGGTCTGTGAATGGTGGTCTGTGAATGGTGGGCTGTGAATGGTGGGCTGTGAATGGTGGGCTGTGAATGGTGGTCTGTGAATGGTGGTCTGTGAATGGTGGTCTGTGAATGGTGGGCTGTGAATGGGGGGCTGTGAATGGTGGTCTGTGAATGGTGGTCTGTGAATGGTGGTCTGTGAATGGTGGTCTGTGAATGGTGGGCTGTGAATGGTGGGTTGTGAAAGGTGGGTCTGAATGGTGGGCTGTGAACGGTGCAAGCAGTGCATGCCACTCACTTGCACTTCTGCTTCTCCTCCTTCCCTTTCTGCCCCCAACAGAAGCAGCTCCAGGCGCTCAACAGCGTGGATGAGTACGCAGAAGCCATGCTGAACGGCACTGTGGTGGGCTGTGAACGGTGCGTGCACCTCACTCACACTCCTCCCACCTTCCATATCTCTGTTTGCCCCCAACAGAAGCAGCTCCAGGCACTCAACAGCGTGGACGAGTATGCAGAAGCCATGCTGAATGGCACCGTGGTGGGAGTGGTGGACGAGCGTCCCTTCCTGGACCTCATTCTCTCGCAGGACTGCTCCTTCACCACTGGGGAAGCCGATATCTCAACACTGGGATGGGCCTATGTGAGTGCGAGCAATTCCCAAATGTAGCGGTTTTGGAATGATGTATTTTAGTTGCGTAAAGTAGGGGGTGGTGGACGAGCGTCCCTTTTTGAACCTTATTCTCTCGGAGGACTGCTCATTCACCACGGGGGAAGCCGATATCTCAACACTGAGCTGGGCCTTTGTGAGTGCAACACAATACCCTCCCATGTCTTGTTGCGGTGTTTGAGGCGGTTAGAACAAGGGAGTGCTGGACGAGCGTCCCTTCCTGGACCTCATTCTCTCGCAGGACTGCTCGGGAAGCAGATATCTCCACCCTCGGATGGGCCTTTGTGAGTGCAATACCTACCATGCCCACCCATGTGTTGTTGCCATACCTTTGTGAGTGTGGCAGTCAGAGAGCTGTGCTGCTGCTGTACGGTCTTAGGCAGGACCACCACGTTAAGCCTTGACTCGACTCGCACCACCCAGTGTTGCACCTTCACCATGAGGGGGAGCCTACATATCCACCCTCGGATGGGCCTTTGTGAGTGGTGCAGTGCAGTCAGAGAGCTGTGCTGCTGCTGTACGGTCTTAGGCAGGAGGACCACGTTAAGCTGTGACTCGGCTCGCACCTTCAGTGATTGCACCTTCACCATGGGGGGAAGCTGACATATCTTCCACCCTGGATGAGGGAGTGAGTGAGTGAGTGTGTCAGAAGGAGGTGTGTGAGTGAGTGTGGGTCCAGTTAGTGCGGCAGCAGATGCAACCTTTGCTGCAACACCAGGCTCTCCCAGGCCTGCACCTTGAACATCTCCAACCCTCTTCAACCCTTCTTCATCCCTCTCCACCCCTCTTCAACCAACCCTGCACTCCTCTGATTCACCAGGCCTTCCAGAAGGGATCAAATCTGGCCGTTGATCTGAGCAAGGCCATCGCCCAGCTGAGCGAGTCAGGCGAGCTGCGAACCATCCACAACGGCTACGTGCCTGTGAGTGCCCGCAGGTCTGTGAAGGATAGCGTGCCTGTAAGGGATGATGGGCCCACATAACCATAACATGGTCTTCCGAGCTCACCCTTGCACATCCATGTTAACCTGATCTCAGCTCTTCAATTTCTTGCCTCCGCCCTCTGAACCCCCCACAGAACAACCTGACGTGCAGTGGGGATACGAGTGGGGCGTCATCGGAGAGTCTGGGAGCAGAGGGCTTTCAGAATCTGTTCATCCTGTACGGCGTCATGGCCACCTTCGCCTGCCTCATGTACCTCGCCGTGCTGCTCTACCGCGGCCACCTCGCCAAGAAGTACGCTCTTATCATTGTTGTCTCACTTCACACCTGCATAAGATGTATGTGGTGTGCCTTGACGGACCACCGCAGCAAGCCACCTTCGCCTGCCTCATGTACCTCGCCGTGCTGCTCTACCGCGGCCACCTCGCCAAGAAGTATGTAATGCAGTTTCTCTCCATACCTGCCTGAGTGAGAGGTATGGCTTGTGCCTTGAGGAAGCACCGCATTGAGCCACCTTCGCGGGCCTCATGTACCTCGCCGTGCTGCTCTACCGCGGCCACCTCGCCAAGAAGTATGCTCTTATCATGAATATCTCACATAGATATGCTCGTATCATGAATGTCTCACATACATACGCTCTATCATGATTATCTCACATACATATGCTCTTTTCTTGATTATCTCACATAGATATGCTCGTATCATGAATGTCTCACATACATACGCTCTTATCATGATTATCTCACATACATACGCTCTTATCATGATTCTCTTACATGTGCCTAAGAGGTATGTGGTGGGTGCCTTGAGGAAGCAACACACCTTTGTCTGGATTTCTCCGGTATTTGCCGTTGTGCCTGGTGGTGTAATAGGGAGTTGGAGGAGGAGGGAGAGGAAGCGAGCGGGGGCATGTCTGCAATCAAGGCCAAGCCATGGATGAACCCCTTCAAGCACTTCATCTACCTCTATAACCTCGTGAGTTCATGCATGCATGCGTGCAGACATGTATATGTGTTGTCATGCATGTGCCTTATGATGCATGTGTATGGTCATGCATGTGTGCTGTCATGTGTATATCCATTGCAGCCATGCATGCAGCCATGCATGTAGACTTGAATGTAGCTTTAGTCATCCAAGCAATCCTCTGCACGGGCCCTCATGTAGTCATGCATGCAGTCTTGCATCTAGTCGTGCATGTGATCCAGCATGTGGTTATGCATCTTGCCATGCATGCAGTCATGCATGTGCCAACTTTTCTGCATACATGAATTGCCTCTTTGTCAACGTGCACCTTCCCACAATGTGTTCGGTGCTGCCGCTTGCCACTTTTCCTTTCCCCCCCCCCCTTCCCCCCCCCTCTTTTAGGGTGTGGCGTGGAGCATTGCACGCAATATTGAAATTGACGACGAGCCATTCTACGAAGCAGACCCGAATATGTTTGAAATGTATGATGCGTCGTTCAACCAATCGGAGTTCACAAATGGGACTGACGAAGGCTCAAAGCATGATCTTGACCGTTGATGGAAGCATCTGCATAAACAGCAGCTGTCGCAATCTTCAGCTCTCATACGCAGTTGTTGCTTATTTATAGTTTGTGTTGTTTAAGGCAGTGTTGACGTTCATAGTCTATTAGAGGTTCTACCTGTTTTGTTGTGCTGTATTATGTTTGAGTGTAATAGCTCTCCTATCAGCAGATACTTATAATCATGCTTTGGCCTGCGATGTTATTATCTTGCGTTTTCACTATAACGGGTCACGACAAGGCAGCGCGAACCACATCTGCCGTTTTCTGCTCCCTCCAACCGTTCGAAAAGAGTCATTTTCCCTAAACCCGCAATTCTCGAGACCTTTCCCGCCCCTGGAACATAGCCTCTCTCGAGCTTCTGGGAACTGCCAGCTGACCGAAAGATCGTAGGTCTTACTTCCGAAATTACCCAGCCGGCGCGCCTTTCGCACGACATGGCAGCCGATGGCGGTCGGAAAGAGAAAGATAAGAGCAAAGGCATCAAAGTCAGCAAGAAATCCGCAGCTGTGAAACCCAAGAAGCAGGATCGCGAAGGCCAGCAGAGCAAACCGAGCGACGACGATTCGCGTCCTCGTGGCAAGCAGAGCGAAGTGGGATCGCGTCCACGTGGAAATCGGAACGAGGAGGGTTCACTTCCACGTGGCGGCAGTCGAGATGCTGCTGCCGGAGAGATCTTGCCGGCGAGATTGCTGCCGTCGCAGATTAAGAACAAGCAGAAGCGGTCGGCAGTGACGGCGAAACTTCGCGCGGAGAAGGAGAAGGGGAAGAAGCAGCGGCTGAAGCGGCGGCGGCAAGAGGAGGAGCGCGCAGTGGCGCTGGGAGAAGCGGTAGGTCGGAGGGAGCGGTGGCTGGGGTTGAAGCAGTAGGTCGGGGGAAGTTCTAAGATAGGCGTACGGGAAAGGCAGTGGGCATGGAGGTTTCCTACATTGCGGCTTCACACTGACCGTTTAATTATCGCCTCCCCAATCGCAGGGTTCTGGGGTTTGGAATCCGAGTTTATCATTCAGGCTAGCGCCCAGGCTCATAAATGCGCAAGTCCTTCGTTCCCCTCATTTGCAACCGTCCAAATCTCCGCTTTCTCGTCGCCATTGCGAACCCTGCTTAAATCTTAAACCCTGCAGGCCCCACCACGGAAGGCAGCTCGCACCATCGACAGCACGCGGGAGGTGGACGAGACTATAGCGCAGCCTGACGACGACGAGGTGACTATAACGGGGGAGGGATTCTGCGTATGTGTGTGTGACACTGGCATTGTAGCGAGCTGGAGTTTATTGAGTTATTCTGAAGGTCACCTGGAGAGGTGTACGAGACTCCCGTGTTGTCTTTCGGTGACGAGCGTGACTATAATGAAGGGGAAGCTAGAAGGAAGGCAGATGGGTTGGTCGGTGAATTGCGGTTCTTTAATGTTTTATTGCAATGTGAACGGATGAGTACTGTGATGAACCCCCCTCTCACCTCCCCACCACTACGCTCCCATGGCAACAACACCACAGCTGCATGCAGACGATGCACAGGACGAGTTCGCGCCGCACTTGTTTTACAGACGCCTCATGAACAGAACCTCTTCCCCTCCCCCTTCCCTCCCACCTCCCCACCACTACCCTCCCATGGCAACACCAGTTGCATGCAGACGAGGCACAGGACGAGTTTGCGCCGCACTTCAACCGAGAGAGGCCGCCCAAAGTGCTCATCACCACGTGCCAACGGATACACCCGGTATGCCTCATACTTGCTGCATAAAAATAAATATATATGTATGTATATATGTATCTATGTATATATGTTTTTGGCATTCCCTTTTTCTTTTTCTTTTTTTCTGGAGAATCTCGTGCCATTATATGGTGTGGTGGCATGGCAGTGTCATGTCACGTGCCTGACATCTCCAGTTTGTTTTTCATTAGGCGCTTGTCTTTCCCCTTTTTCTGTCGTTGTCAATTCTACTTCGTTGCATTCCATGTTCGCAGATAATGAAGCAGTTTATTAAGGAGCTTTTAGTGGTCATTCCAGGGTCGGAGTACTATGAGAGGCGGCAATATCGCATAAAGGAGGTGTGTGTGAGGCACTCAGGGAGGTGCGTGCAGTGCTGCTGCTCTATTTTCTGCATTCTTCTCTTTTCCTCTCTCTCAAGCGGTCCATATATTTGCAACTAGAAAGTAAAAACATGCACGGGGACATCACTAGGTTCTGTTACTTGTCCCCTACCCCTCCTTCCCCTCCTCCTCCCTGCGAGTGCAGATAGTTCAGTACGCATCAGCGCGTGATTACAGGGCTATAGCACGATCAATAACGCCTACTCCTCCCTCTCTCCCATTGCCTGCGAGTGCAGGTAGTGCAGTACGTATCAGCACATGACCACAGGGCTACAGCACGAATCAACGCCGACTCTTCCCTTCCCCTCCCCTTGCCTGCGAGTGCAGATAGTGCAGTACGCATCAGTGCATGTCCACAGGGCTACAGCACGAATCAACGCCGACTCTTCCCTTCCCCTCCCCTTGCCTGCGAGTGCAGATAGTGCTGTACGCATCAGTGCATGTCCACAGGGCTACAGCACGAATCAACGCCGACTCTTCCCTTCCCCTCCCCTTGCCTGCGAGTGCAGATAGTGCAGTACGCATCAGCGCATAAGTCCACAGGGCTACAGCACTATTAACAACACTTACCCTTGTCTCCCCTCCTCGTGCCTGCGAGTGCAGATAGTGCAGTACGCATCAGCGAGGGAATACACGGCAATGATCGTGATCAACGAGAATCGGAACAAGCCAAGTGAGTAGGTTTGACCTTTGAGAATTCTCAAAAGTCAAACCAACATAGCTGGCCTGCACGGCTATGATCGTGATCAACGAGAATCGGAACAAGCCAAGTGAGTAGGTTTGACCTTTGAGAATTCTCAAAAGTCAAACCAACATAGCTGGACTGCACGGCTATGATCGTGATCAACGAGAATCGGAACAAGCCAAGTGGGTGTTTTCCGCTTGTTTTCCTCGCTTTGGCACAGGCTTTGGCAAGCGGAAGAGAGACACAAGTGTGGTTTCTGCTTTAAAAAGGGAGTAGGAGCACCATGTAGTTCATGCCCTGCCCGTCTCAGTCCCTTCCATCTCTG